CTGGTGTCCCACGACACCACATCATTTTTTTTTAATTATGTTAGTATTTAAGAGGTAAAGCATAGTAGAAATATGTGGAAATAGTGTAACACAGGTGAAATAAATTTATTTTAAGTTAAAAATTGGTCTTTAACAAAGAACATTGATAATTTTGTTGCTGTACTTGGTTGCCACCCTTTTCAAATAAAAATAACCATTTTTATACAGTCCCCGATGTCAAATTGAGTCAGTGCCAAGACTAGTAGTAAGCCGAAAATCAGATTCATATAGTTGTTGGCATAGCGATGACCTTATTTTTATAAATTTTACTTAAAATGTGCTTTATGTTATGGTACATGATAAGTTTTTGCATTATACACGCAATCTGTGATAAATATTGAGTAAGTTTGATTATCTAGCTTGAAAAGTAGTGGACTATTTCGAAAGAAAACTGATTCCAAGAAAAAAAGAAGCATTAAAATCGAAACATGAAAAACAAAAAAAGCTCTATCGAATTCAGATTCGCGTACTTTTTAAAACAACTTTCTTTACGATATTAACTAGATGTGTGTGTGTGTTTGTGGGAACGTTGAAATTGTCTAAATTAACCTAATAAAATCATTACGTGCCATTGTTAAGCAACAAAAAGGAAACAATTTAAATGACAATCAATTTCTGTATTCTGGTCTGCATACTTGATGCAAACCAACGATTTATTTTAACAGCTCTCAAAAGTAGGAGGCGAAGATTGAACAACGAATTTCGACTTATCTAAAACGGCCGTACCATACGTGAACGACGTATAAAATATTTGCTTCAAACCGGGAGTTTGTGGCGAAGAAAAAGAAGTGTATTCATAATACTTTGGTGCAATTTAAGCATGGCTCGGTTCAAAAGCGTGTGCGTCACGGGCATAATGGTCCACTGGGGAGCCGTCGTGTAAACACACCCCTGTAATTTTAAGTTTTGGCTTGCGGCTCGAGTTTTGTATCTGGCGCGGCTCAAGAATTTACGTTGAATGTGTTGCATGTGAGTAAAAACGCTTGGCTCGATGATACATTGTACTCACATTCCCTGCTTATAGGCTCGGAGTTCCCGAGAGATTATTTTAGAAAGAGACGCCTATGAAAATGTTGTTCTTAAATATCTAATGTTTTCGTAATATTTAACTCCAATATCACGCGGTGCTTAGGGAAAATTTAACAATCTGTTTGATAATATGTGTACTGATCACGAATAGAAGTTGAACTTTTGATGCTTTGCCAGTAGTTGTCACTACCTAGAGGTATTATATTGCCATTATGCCTTACGTCTGCTTTAATTATGTATTTTGAGTGATGTAGGAGCACTATTAACATTAAGAAAAGTTATCTAAAAACAATGGTTGGAATAATTAATTCATCCTTTAATATAGTACTATCTTAAGCATACACTGGTGTGATTCTCTATATCTAAAATTAAATTTGACAACAGTGGGACCGATTCTGGCGTCACATTTTCTAAACCGAAACTTACAATTAGAGAGCTAATTTTAGTTAAGGTTTAGAGAATTGTTATTCTGAAATTACTAACTAACTACATTAAGAACACAGTTGACAACTGTAAACGAGCTTCTAAATTGAATTCACAGATTATGTAAAAGCATTGAACCGGTAATTATCGGTTTACTGAAATTAGCAATAAATACTTTATTATTCAGTGATTTTGACTTATTTGAGTAATTCTTTGTTGTTCCTTATCATCTTTGAAATGTGGAAACTTGACATAAGTTTAACTTACTGCATGAGAAATTATGAATCAATATTAAAGAGTGAATACTTGCCTACTCTGTGGTACTTAGGGTTTCTAGATTGGGAGTGTTTATCCTTATTTTGGGGAAAATATGAACTTGGGGAAATTAAATCTGCGGGCCGAACTTTAGGAATCATATTTTTTCTTAGAGCATGCCTTAGTATTTTTTTGGCAAAAGGTTGGGGAAAGCCACCACTTCTAAAATGAAATGCAAATATAGGTACCGACTAGATTTTAGTACTTATCAAATCTATTGAGGATGATAAGTGACGAAAGGCCGTGTCGAGTTCAAGCCGAGCTTCAGCCGTAGCACGGTCACCGAGCAAAATCGTTTTTTTTTGGCTGTAAGTATCACTACGATTGCCCGCGCTGTATTCATGCAACGGGCCGAGGCGGGACCAAGTTTTTTCCGAGCGTTGTTCGTTTGTTGCTCGGTTGTCAGTCGGATACCGCCCGGAATAGCGTGAATGTATCCATAATCCATGTAAAATATACTGTTTAATATTAGTTAACTCTGCTATTGCCGGCACGGTCTAACGCTTAGAGCATAAGGTCTAACGTGAATCATCATTGACAAGGACAATGGGCAGAACACACCCAGCTCCGCCAACAATGTAATTAGTATGAATCGATAGATCTATTAAAAACTAGCCTTTTTTATTATGCCACCGAAATAAATATCCTGGGAGTCAAAAGATATGACACCGTAAAAAATATCCTGGTAGTCAAAAGATATGACACATGGGCATATTAAAGTAGCTAAATAAATTCACTTTATGGTACCTTTATTTCACATTATTAGTAAACATAATAATACGCCATATCGTACTATACAACCAGATATACGACAACGCCTGCCGGACATCCTGTGCTTATACTTACTGAGCCACCTCAAAACGGTTTACGGGGGTTGAAGGACTTGCAGTTGCAAATAGTCCACTCGTCTTACTTCGTTGTGATTGTGCGCTCCCTGTCACTTGATTGATTTTTATCTAACACGCCTTGGACATTGGAACACGATTATCGGTTTTGTCAATTAGTATGGATGAATTGGAATCATGTTTTCTCCGAAGCGTGGACAAGTTTGGGTGATTTGTGGTCGCTCCGTTTTACAAAGAAGACAATTTACTATAACGAACAGAATGTTTGAAAAACCCCAACCCAGAATACCAAATAATCACTTAAATCTAAGTTGAATAACTTAGCAACTTTAATTTTTAATTGAGAGATAGAGTGTCATTACAGAATACTAAATTGAATTTGACAAGTCTATATCTAATTTTAGTTAGTTTTAGATATAAGTTGGCACGCCAGAATTGGGCCCAGTGTCTTCTTGCCATTCGCTATACAGATTGAAAAGGGACTGATGTTAAATTTGGTTTAAAGTTTAGAGAACCATGTTAGAATCGACACCACTATAGGTTGTAGGTACTGTAGTATTGTAAAATGTTCGTTGATTAAAAATCCCAAATTAATATTTTGTTGCCACATACCATACTAATAAATGTATGTACAGATTCCAGAATGCAAATATTCTAGAAATCATATTAGAAAGAAAGCCCGTCCATTTTCGTATACAATCCGAAAACCTAAATTAGAACGGCCACAAAAGGCAGCTAAAAGTATTCTTTTATGTATTCTTTCCATTTGCTTGTAACATGGATACATGCTTTCGTAGGTACGAAATATATTTTATTAATACAAGTAAGAAAAGAAGATATGTTGCGATTAAGAGCTACATTGCGGCTACATTTATTATAACAAATTTATATAATGTTATACCTTAAGAAAATGTTTATTAAAAAAAGGCTGGACTTTTTGCATTGCTTCTTTTCTGGTTTCATAATCTGGACGAATGCACTAAACTGTAGGCTACCGAGACAAACGTATATGTACCTATATTTGATTCTAGTATTTCTAAGGCTGTAAGGCACATAATAAAAACTACATAACTAAAATATTTTCAAAATACACACGATATTACTGTAAGGTACCCTTATCACTGTAGGTTTTATCATCATCATCATCAGCCTATTAATGTCCCCAGTGCTGGGGCACAGGCCTTCCATATGGATGGAATAGGGAGATTGGGCCATGATCCACCACGCGGGCACAGTGCGGATTGGTGGGTGCTAACGACTGCAGATGCAGCCGGGACCAACGGCTTAACGTGCCTTCCGAAGCACGGAGGAGCTCGAGATAGCAAATTTTTGGTCACCCATCCAATGACCAACCACTGCGAAAGTTGCTTAACTTCAACGACCGCAGCCGAACGCGCTAACCACTTGCGCCATCGAGCTCCTCTATAACCTCTAAACTGTAGGTTTACATGGACTCTTTTACTTGACAAGTATTAGGTATTAGTTGCGTGAGATACCCCAATAAAATAATATATGATAAATTGTAAAGGAAAATTAACTCACGTTTACTTTTAAAATATTTGAATTTAAGCATTAAAGTATGTATCTAAAGCAAATTTTAATTGGAAGAATTCTATTCTAACAAGGTCATTAGACCGGATTCGAATTAGTGTATTTGGCAATCCGGGCGAACACATTGACCGTTATGCTAATGGATGCGCCAATTTTCTTCTAATGTATGTGATATTTGGACGACTTCCGTGACCGAGTGGTTTGTTCGCCGGGTTTCAAGGTGTTCGACTCGAGAGGGTTCGAATTCGTTTTCCGTGTTGCAACCGCAGTTGGTCAATCAAAAAGCGCAAATACTAAACGTATAGGTAGTACATTATTAATCACTACATAGTATAAAGCAAAGTCGCTTCCCGCTGTCTGTCCCTATGTATGCTTAGATCTTTAAAACTACGCAACGGATTTTGATGCGTTTTTTAAATAGATAGAGTGATTCAAGAGGCGGGTTTATATGTATAATACACGCATAATATAGTAGAGAAACACTGAACATTTTAGAGGTATTTAATGTAAGGTCGTAAATAAACATATTTTTGTGCGCTTACATTGCAAACGCTGCGCTGGCTGAACCCTACGAGATAGATCAAATTAATGTACTACAGTATTGTACACCTTAAAAAGGTTTACTAAAAAGTCCGCGATGGTATATTTCTATCTCGTAGGGATAACCCACAATAACCATTTTTATTCTTTACTTTTTACGAGACATAAAAGCTTATTTACGAAGCGATTTTCAGCAATACAGCATTCATCTTTATCCAATTAAGTACCTTAAATACATTGTGCATTTAATATAGATCAGTTTGACCTGAATACTGAGATTAAAAAAAAAGATAACGTTATTGACAGATTAACCCACATTTTAATTTATTGATAGATCACAAACAGCCGGAACCAATTGTTTACAACTAAACTAACATTGAATTACTAATATTCATGATTTTTCAAGAAATCCATTTATATTTAAATGAAATATCTTTTTGTGACTATCTAATTTGGGAACGCTGGCTTATTCTCACCTTAGTGTAGGTCCTCACGATGCGTTGCCGTGTGTTGCGTCGCCGCACCGCAAAGATTTCGCTGTATCTGTGGACATACGTGAGGCGTGCGGCGCCACAACGTATTTACATCGCAGAGGCGACGCCGGCGCGGAGCCCCAGTAGCAGGCGCTCCGACGACGTCGCAAGTTCGCAATGCATTCACCCTCCCCGTCGCGTCTCGGCGATCGCAAGTCCGGTATTCGTCGCACGCATCGTGAAACACAATACATCGTGTGTAGGGCGTGTGTGTGTTTCACGATGTGTATAAGTTTTGAAGCAGGGGTAAACAGAACAGACTTAACAAATGAAACGAAAGTATAGTCTGTGCTTACGATATTGGATGCGTTTTCAACACGAATATAGCTCTTATTGCTGCCGATGTCAAATATTTTAACCAACATGGGTGGACGGGCGTTCGAATAATCGTAAAGTAAACTTCCAACAAGAGGAAGAAATTAAGACGTTACGTTACAATTCTTTGTAAGTATAAGATAACTTAGTCGCGTACGTTTAATGTACAAAAGGTTTTATACTTATTTGTAATAGCCGTGTTGTGTATAAAGTGTGTTCTCCAGAGACGCAAATACTTATCAGGAGTTTGTTTTCCATTTCCGTTTAAGTATAATTGAATCAGCATTGAACATAAGTCGATTTCTTTCGACGCCATCTGAGGAAGACATAAAGTGTGTTTCTTTGAAGAGTATTATGGAGTTTTAATAACCATTATATGATTTATAAGAAGGTACTTAGTTTGTAAGGATTCCCAGCTCTATAGTAACGACTTCATTTCAACAAAGTATTTTTCGCGTCATTATCAAAGTATTTTTGTAATATAATAGGTATTTTCGTAAATATATTTTATACCAAAATTCATTTGAGATTGATTTTGCAGATATTAAATAGTTATATATATATATATATATATATATATATATGTATATATATATATATATATTATTAAACCTATTTAAATTAGTCCTGTTTAACTGAATGTACTATACTGTAATATCTATTTAAAATGTCTGTTTTACTAGTTCACTTTTTAAGTTTTTTTTTAATAAGAGATTGTTATCTATTTATTGTATTAAAAACTTTTTGAATTCATTTTACTTACATTTCGTAATAATTGAGATAACTAATTTCATATCCAAATTCTACACCTATTCTTTCATAATTTCTAATTCACCAGGAGGAAATCCAAAATAAAAATACGAACATTGTCTGAGGTCGCTTACAAAATTTTACCTTTATCTCCTAAGCCGCCCTGTAACTTTTTTAATTCAGTTTAGTAATGAGACAGGCTGATGTTACGAGACGAGAGTAGTTTAAAAAATGAATTTCAAATTGAATGACTTGTTCCAAGAAGAAGGTGAGCTTAAGGAGGATATTTGTCCACAGAGTACGCAACTGTGATGGAGGCTGGTAGGTGAGGGTGCGCGAAGGGCGGCGCGCCCCGGCCGCGCCCGCCCATGGCCCCCTTTCTCCAACTCAGGTACAAAATCTTTTATTTCTTTGACTACCATAATTAAGTAAATTGCACCTGGAAGGTGTTGGTGTTGGAATTTATTAAAACCGCTTTTAATTTGACTAAAATTAATCAGTACCATAGAAATTTTTCGCCGTCAGGTAGGTACCTACGTACAGTAAGAAACAAAACACAACTTTCAACAGGAAGTTGAGCTAAAAAAATACTAAGTTTTCTTTTCGAGCGAAATATGAGTATCTATTTTAGCATTCGCTTCTGTAAAAATCGGAGTGGTGCGTTGCGACGTTGACAAATGTCAATTTCCTTTGTTATTTCTGATAGATAGGCTCTGAAATTTTGATTTCAGTTCGTTTGTAACAATGTGACCAGCTGACTCTGTCGAAGTTTGCCGTTGTATTTAGGATTTGATTTGTGATGTTTCGCTTATTTGCGACTATGATTTGTGAGTTGCACATTTTTTTAAATAGTTTATTGGAAAAAAAATCTTTATTGAAGACATAATCAGATACGGTAACTGTCCATTAGCATACCATAAGATTCAAATATCTATGAGCGTACTTATGAAATAAACATTAGTTGTATCCAAAACTATAATGTTATGACGTGTCTTTTTCTTCGATATTAAAATACTATATTGATGACGATGACGGTACTACAAATAAGTAGGACCTGTGTAACCATAACTCATTACGCTGACAAAGTACATATTGGAAGGTTCTTACATCTAAAAATCAATATAGATGACGTGATTTGTGAAACTAGACGCAGTTTGAAAGCACATACCACTTTTGATCATTATGAGGTATTACTTACGGTTTGCCTGGCATTACGATTGGTGGCCTCTGTTTCGGAAGTTTTATATTGATACTGGCCATCTCGTTTAACTTTTTTGTTTGTCTAGTTTGGACGTGTTAGGTGTTTATGTGGGTTGACTCAAATTGTGTGTACGTGACTAAAATAAAAATTGGTCAAAGTGTTAATGTTGTCGCGTTTAACGTTAGGGAATATCGTTCCGTAATGAGTCCGAGTTCTGATGGTAGGTAATGAGAATGGTTGTTGTTTATAATATACACACAATGTCCTTTCTTACGCTTATGTTAGTTTTTTTTACATTAATATCTTCTAGGTTTTTCGACATCTCACTTCATTCACCTTTAGTATAGCAACATCATTTACTTATGCTGGGACTGCTGGGGCAGGTCTTCCCTATGGAAGGAATAGGGAGTTTGGGCCATAATCCACCACGCGGGCTCATTGCGGATTGGTGGGTGCTAACTACTGCAGATGCAGCTGGGACCACCGGCTTAATGTGCAACGTCTTAAGCATAGAGGAGCTCGAGATAATAAATTTTGTTTTTGGTCACCCATCCAATGATTGACCACTGCGAAAGTTGCTTAACTTCAACGATCGCAGCCGAACGTGCTAACCACTTGCGCCATCGAGCTCCTCTTTTTACCCGACTGCACAATGCAAGAGCGCGAAGCGCGACGCCCAGACAGGGTATAGTGTTTAACAGTCTATATATGTATGTATGTTCCTTTGTTTCACACTAGAGAGCAAACGCGTGGACAGATTTTGATGATTCATACGTTAATCGATTCGATGGGAGTGCTATTAAATATATAATAGTAAGCAAAATTCAATATGGGGACAATTAGGCGCCATATTGTGACGAAGAAAAAAAAATAAGTTGACGAAATATGTCGAGTGAGGTATCATTGTCTAGATAATCAGAAAACATGTTTGTTTCTTACACCATTTTTATTTTATATGACTGTTTAGGATCTACAACGATTTAAACTTGTATATCAACCACTTGCGCTTTTAATTTCAATCTTACGTTTGTGGACCTTTGTTACTCTTTCACTCAAAAAATACTAAATGGATTTTAATGAAACTTAACAATAATATAGCTCCATACATAATAATAACGTATAGATGCTAATTTCTGTAGTTAATGAATGAATTGGCGAAAATATAACTACAAGTGTCATGTTAGACGGGAAACATCTCCAATCTGCGAGCCATTTTGGCTTGCACTGCAAAAACAATAAAAGTTACATGAATATAATGGAAATGTATCTCTTAAATAGTTCTACAAAATAATCCGCGACAGAATATATCTATTTTGAATGTGTAAGCCATTATCGCTAAAAGAATGAATCAAAAATTTAATATTATTTGATATCCATTTTCAAAATGCACATTTTGTATTAACAAATTATTTTTATCAAAACAAATACTTTTATCGCTTTTGATATTTAAAGAAATAAACTTTGCCTTTTACACTATGCCATTTCGACTAATATTTATAAAGTTACAACTATGACAAAGTGATAGCGCGGTGAACAATGCAGGAATAGACTGCGGGAATGGTGGGAGAAGAAATTTTGATGAATTTTGGTGTTCAAAAACGTAAATAAAACCTAGTAGGAAAAAAATGGGCTACTCGCAGTATCTGTGTATCGCAGTGATAGTTCCTTTTTATTATATGATGAAAAATAAATTATAATAATAGGTATGATTATTGAAATTTAATAAAAACTCAGATTTATACTGTTTTTATAGTTTATTTTAAAGATATTACTTTATGTTACTAAGGATTACTTAACAAAATAAGAAATAACCTATTATTCGCTAGAAGGTACATACCTAATGGACTCCCGTATTATTAATCAGCCCGTAATATTGTTGGTTTTGTAATTATAAACAATAATTCTGCAAAATTCGAAGAAAATAATATAAAGTTCTATCGGTAAAATCACCCCTTCCATCACCCCTATAAGTATTTTGATAATATAGCTTAGAAAAGGAATCACCATTTACAATACCTACATTGGGTAATTTATCTATTACATTTCTATTACACCTATTTGAATTTTTGAAAAAAAATATCCATTCATGAATATAGATATTCTATATGGGTCCCCACTGTTAAAGTAGCTTTGTTCCTAGTAAGGAACAAAGCTACTTTAACTGTTATACGTATAAAAGAATGATAACAGAATGATAGACTACTGGACTTGTTTTTTTCTTTTCAGTTTTATATTTTAAATAATATTTAAGCAATCGGGTTTTTTAATTTTTACATATACTATTGGCATAAAATAAATGCGAACTGTGAATCTCAACTCTTAAAAAAATAGTAGTGAATTTTCCTCTCTCGACGCGGGCAACGGCAAGTGTCAGCACTTGGGCAAATCTAATAATCCTTTGATGCATCGGATTAAGTTGGGTTCGTAATTGTCAGCTTCAAGCCGAGAATTGAATTTATTTTCTTGCAGTAAACGCTCACGTTGATGAGTTGTTGAGTTAAATTGGCTTTAAACTTTTTATTAACTGTCTTAAACGTTGTCTTATTGGGCTAGTGTCAATTTTAAATCTGATTTTTATCCTTACCTTCCTAACTTAGTTTAGCTAGCTTATCCTTACTTAGTTTATGTTTACTTCCTTTCCTTGAAAAATATATAAAAGCATTTTTGACGACCGTTTGGTATAATTGACAGCATAAAGTGCGGCTTCTACTTCAAGGTCCTGAAATCCTAATAGCTGAATTTATTTTGATGATGAGGGCAAAATATTTGTTCCCATCATTTCTATTATACTGATAAGTATACACGAAAGACGTTGTCCTGCCCAAGTGCAGCACCACCTGTTAAGTCCAGTTATAAATCCAAACCAGTGAGGGACCCACCTTTTTTTTACGCCAATTAGCCCCAAAGTAAGCATTGTATGGCTTGTGTTATGGGTTACTAGGTTAAACATCCATTCCGCCTCCTGGGACTGGAAGTGGCCCTCGAAAAGACGAGGGCCATGGCCTTCCACGGTCCCAGATGCAGGACCCCGCCGGGGCTCCGTGCCCGAGTAGAGGGGGTGTGGGTTCCGGTCGAGATGCATCTCAAGTATCTCGGCCTGACCCTAGACCCCCGATGGAGCTGGGAGGAGCACTTCAGGCTCCTCACTCCCCGGCTGTGCGGCGTCGCAGCCGGACTCGGTCGCCTACTCCCCAATGTGGGGGGGCCGAAGGCGAAGTGCCGTCGGCTTTATCACTCCGTGATAAAGTCGATGGCGCTGTACGGGGCCCCGGTCTGGGCGGAGTGCCTCTCGTCCCGCACGAGGGCCCTCCTGCGAAGACCGCAGAGGGTCATCGCGACCCGGGCCGTGCGGGCTGGTCAGCCACGGGGCTGCCTGCGTCCTAGCAGGCACGCTCCCTTGGGAGATTGATGCCCTGGTACTGTCCCAGGTGCATCAACACCTGGTCGCGGCGAGAGAGCGGGGCGAGCGACCCGTTCTAGAGGAGATAGAATGGGTCCGCACCGAGGCGCAGAGGGAGGCTCTGCGCCGATGGGTGGAGGCACTCGCCAACCCAGCCGCTGGCCACCGGACGATCGAGGCGATTCGTCCGGTGTTGGAGGAGTGGGTAGGGCGCCAGCGGGGCACCCTCACCTACCGCCTGGTGCAGGTACTGACCGGACATGGGTGCTTCGGTCACTACCTGCACCGAGTCGCCCGTCGGGAGGAGACGCCGCGGTGTCATCACTGCGCCTCTCCCGACGACACGGCCGAGCACACGTTGATCGTGTGCCCGGCCTGGCGAAATGAGCGCCGCGATCTGATCGCGGCGCTCGGCGGAGGAGGCATCACGCTGTCAAGTATGGTAAGAGCCATGCTTGGTAGCGAGAGAGCCTGGAGGGTTGCCGCCTCCTTCTGCGAATCGGTGATGACGCAGAAGGAGGCAGCGGAGAGGGAGCGGGAGGAGGACGCTCTAGCCCCCCCTCTCCGGCGTAGACGGGTGGGCCGAAGAAGGCAGGCAGCGGTGACTGCCGGTCTACGACGGCCCTAAGGTGGTCTGGGCGCGGCCTGACCAGCCGCGCGTCCTAGGTGCCGCTCCGGCATAGGCCACCACGTCTGGGGACTGCCTAGTACCCTAGCGCAGTCCCCCTGAGGCGTGTCGCCCGGTCCACTCGTTGGGCCGGGCTTGCCCGGGGGCGTGCTCGGAGATGTGGCGCACGCAGGTGCGTCGGCCCCGAGACCGCCCCCATATGGGCGTAGGAGGGTACCGGGGGGTTTTAGTGGAGTAGGATCAGTGTGGCCTTCCGCACTGGTCCTGCTTGAGTAGGGTCGGCACTGTTTGTCGGCGTCACGGTATGGTGCGTAACTGCATTTCCCCTCGTCACAAAAAAAAAATGCTTGTATTCAACATACTAATATTTGCCCCACCGGGATTCGAACCCGGGACGTCTGAGTAGGCGAAACTTTTGAAACTCGGCGTACATATTCCAGTCGGCCACGGAGGTAATTTTTTTGAAAAAAAGTGGATTTCAACATCAGATTTCACAGAAGGTTTTATATGGTATAATACAATAATAATGTGAGAAACTAATTACATTATCAAAATATTTCATGAGTATTATGGAATTAAAAATGACTTAGACACAAAGAATAATTCTAGAGATGAGCGTGTGCCAGATTACCTAAGTTAAGCATTAAACGGCGCAATTATACTGCGAAAATTTCGTATCCATTTTGTGGGAATAGCTATAATAGTTAATTTATTAGCTAGTACTATAAACAATAGCATAACAATATAAGCATACGGGTCGAGAATAGCGCGGATGTTGCAATCAACTAGAAGTGAACTGATTACTCTCATTATTACAGCGTACAACCCGCGATGGAATGCTGCAGTGATTTGTGTTGTATCATCCAGATCATTTGTCAATTTCCCGTTTGTAATTGGAATTTAAACGCGATTCAAAATATCATTGTAAAGTTAAACCATGTTTTTGTTGATGTAGATTTAATTCAATGAATCCGTTGTGGTCGATTACTATATTTCTTTACATAACAACTTTTGATGTTCTTCTTTATTTATATACCTAAAATCATTGGGTTTGGTATTTTGAATGTTTTGAGAATAAGCAAACATTGTGAAGTACAATCCGAATCAGGGAGTATACATTCTCTTAAAAAAGGAACACAATCACATGACCTTTGATTAAAACTTAAATTGTGCTTTGAACGTTTGTTGCTAATACTGCGTTTATCAAATATACACTTCATACACGGGTTTGTTGACAAAGTTTTGAGGAGTTCGGAGACTCAAACATAAATGTGAGAAACGTTCTCCTCTACGTATGAGCTACGCTATTGTCAGCGTATAAACTACTATTACTTTGTATTCTCAACATACGTGCTCCATATTCAACACTTTCATCGCTTATGTTATGATACAAAGCTTTATAGCTCCCTTCCCATGCAAGGAATCGTCTTTTGAAAATAAATAGTACTGGAAGTGTTATGTAGATAATACCTAATTCTTTAATATATTTTCCCACAGTTTTGAATTTATTAATGGGTTGTCTAACCAAAATCTTTGAATCTACGTTTTTTTGTAGATCACATGCGCAGAAGTTCTTTACATGAAATTAAAAAAGATGTTCAAACATCTTTGAAACTATCGACTTTCAGTTTCAATCAGTGCAAAGATAGATAGACGGATATTTGAAAACGGATTTAGATTAAAATTAATATTTAGAATTTAACCTAAAATGTTGTATTCATTTTGTTCAACAAGAGCTCGACGGCGCAAGTGGTTGCGCGTTCCGCTGCGATCGTTGAAGTTAAGCAACTTTCGCAGAGGTCTGTCGTTGGATGGATGACCAAAAATTTACTATTTCGAGCTCCTCCATGCTTCGGACGGCACGTTAAGCCGTTGGTCTCCTCTGCATCTGCAGTCGTTAGCACCCACCAATCCGCACTGGGCCTGCGTGGTTTATTATGGCCCAATCTCCCTATTCCATCCGTGGAAGGCCTGTTTCCCAGCAGTGGCGGCATTAATAGGCTGATGATGATGATAATATTGTTCATTTGTCAATAGATGGTTGGTGCACTGGCTGGTGAGCGCCGCGGCGTGGGGCTTGCTCTGCGGCGCCGGGTTCGCTCACTCGCCGCCCCTGATGCCGTCTCTGGCACCACCTTGCCCTCTGCACTGCATCTGCCTGTCTCAATCACAGGTAATTTGACACTAACTCATTCTTTTCCAGTATCAGTTCCATAATAATCAAATTCCAGTAAGGGATGGGCCTCCTAGAGCTTTATTGCCTACATTTATTAATTATTTAGATTATAATAATAACTACTGCTAAATAAAACTAGTTTTAACGGGTTAGTGCACGAAACTTTATTTATTTATTGACGTTTCGCAGCCTTTTCAGGCTGGTTCGTCAGAATGATTGTTTTTTAGCAGCCTGAAAAGGCTGCGAAACGTCGTTAAATAAATAAAATTTCTTGCATTAACCCGTTAAAACTAGTTTTATTTAATGAGTGATGTGCATGAAAACCTAAGAAACAAATAAACTACTGCTAAGTAACGGAACTAGATTAATGAAAATGGCCGTATAACGCAGCCAAAGAACACTTTTCTGGAGTATCGTATATTCCTGTTGTAAGTTCAGGTTTCAGGCCAGCAATGTGATGCTAGCTGGAGCGGAACATTTCCTCTACATTTGTACTTCACCAGATGGGTCAAGTAAGTAATTTTGCTGAGCCTTGTATGAACAGAATCGTCCAACTTTTCTTATCTAAGCCGTCGTCAGCGTAGGTCTTCACGAATTTAATTTATATGCATCACCGATATTTATATCGATTATAATTCTATTCTTATACGCAAGAAAAGCTCGATTGCCACAGAAACGTGTGAAATGCATAAAGTATGACACAAGTGTTACATAGGTTATGGCGGCTTCTATATGATTTGAGTAGGTAGATGTTAATGCCTTAAGGCATATAAACAATAGTTGGCTCATTTTTGTACATCGTTAGACTGAATATTGGACGACGAAGCTAAAATAAACGGGCAATTTACCAATTGTGACATTTCTTGATTATACATAAAGGACTTTGAACTATAAGAGAATATACAATGTATGTACAATTAAAGAAATCCATTTATAGAGCCATAAGTTAAATAATTCAAGAACAATACTACATGATATCAATCAAATGTATAACTCAGCATAAGATATTATATACTCTTACAACCAAGTTACTCGGCGGATCGGACATGAACGATCATAAAGGAGTTAAGTTTCTCGTGCTGAGTTCCAAAGTTGGGCGGTTTCGTAATGAATGGTCTTCTCAGAAACTAATGTACCCGTGGGATTACCTAAACATCTTACGACTTCGTCTAACTCAGGAGTAAATTTCTTTAAAAGTACCTACCATATTAAATTATGTATCGGTTTTAAGTGACTCTGCTCTAATAAGAACCCTTATTGAGGAAAATCCTTGGATTAGTAGGGCTACATTTATTTGGCACTTTCCTATTTGTAATGAATAAAATATAAGCTGAATATCCTAAAAGCTTGAAATTTAGGCCTGGTAAGTAAACATATCAAAAAGTCGACATTTTCGTTTAAATAAATGATACAATACAATGAACTTTTATTTGCAAAGATTAGCTCAAATAAAACTTTCCCGAAATAGTTTTTCAAAACGCAATGACCTATTGCAAGTTTTATTAACCTAAAACGTTGGACGGAACCTTTATTATGGGAGTCTGGTAAACTTAGCCAGCCTTTAAACAAATCATTGATATCGCTGAATTCCGAAACTCTCGCTGTTCAAATTAAGGCAACTAATTATCTTGTTTCCGACAGTGTTAATTTGTTTTCTACGAGTTGGATATTCCGATTAGCTCAGAAACCGTTAAAGTGAAATAAAATCTGCTCCAGCGAATCAGCATTAGTGGCTAAAGGTTTAGTTTTGAAAGTGACGTTCTCCACATAACGAATGGAGTGCACAAAACTTTTTAAGTAGGCAAGGAATTAAATAAATAGAACTATGATTTTGTAAATAAAATAACTTGAGGTTGATTCATTTTCACTCGAATTGGAATGCAGGTACTGTACCCCTAGCACGAACCATTATCGAATTCGAATAGTGTGCAAACCGAAATGTCAATGTCAGAGGAGATTGCTCAGCTTCCATACATGTTAGGCCTAAAGACCAATAATCATGAAAAATTGTTTCCTAGATTCGAAATTATATATAAATTACTGTAGAAATGAATATTATTGACGGAAACCCCTGAGAACTTCTATAAACCATATACACTGAATGATTTTGAGGTTATGTTTGCAAATAGGTACATAGATATTAAAATAATAAAAAACAAATAAGTTATATAGCAAACTAGGGTAATCAAACCAAGTACAGAAATTATGTATTAGATTCAGGTATATAAAGCACGTAGATTAATAGATAGTTGCCTGTTTTTAAAGTTAATGCATAAGAGTAACTTTTAAAATTCAGGTATTATCTACCTATGCATTTCCGGTTTTAATAAGTTACTCTGTGACAGAAACTGTGTGTTATTTGTGAATGAGTCACGGATTGGAGAGAAATTTTTAAACTCTCGTTAACTAAAGAAAGCTTATTATTTTTGTTATGTTTATATTATAACCATATTTTAGATTTTTAGTGTATCACACCTTATAATGTGTTTATGAGGTGGTGGAGGTGGGAGGTGTTTGGCGAAAAATGTATGGCAATAGACTTTATGAATAATATTTGTCTTAGCGCATTTGCATATAGTAAAAATGATAATATACTTGAGGATATTAATACCACAGTATTATAAAAAAATGATTTATTTTATCCATCTTTACAAAATAGATTTGTTTTGATGTTATATAAACAACTTCGATCAGTTTTTGGCTGAATGTTACTACACCCATAGCCATTAAAAATGATTCGTATGTTTTCCAAATCGGTAAAATTAAAAGTCCTTTTTAAAATGAATATATTATACAAAGGTGTCCGTTAAAATCTAATGACTGTAAAATAAATCATAAATTACGCCAAGAATTACCGTATATGTCAATATTTATTGTACATTTGGGTCAATTTGAGCAATCTCCTTTTGTATGGAAACTTGAACAGCAGCGGCACAAAGTACGTAACGAGAACTAAAAATCAGTACACATTTGCCACTGACATTTCGGACTCGCAAACGATACGAATTCGATTCTCACACTTTGGGTTTGACACATTGTAAATATATTAATTGACTTGTTAGGGTTGAAATATACAAAGGGGGGCAAGTGTCTTGAGAAGTGAAGTGGTGTGTAGGGGTCATATAGGTATTTATATATTAATGTATATGCGTATGTGTGTCAGATTAAGTGTGCGTGTTGGAGGATGCATGTGAACCTATGATATGAGCCTTACTGGCTAGATATATGTAGTTTATAGTAACCTGTCACACTATGGGCTTGACACATTGTAAATCACACTAATATTTTAAAGGCGAAAGTTTGTGAGTGTGTTACTTCTTCACGTCTAAACTGGCTGGAGCGATTTAAATAAAATTTGCTACGGAGTTAGCTAACTCCTTGGATTAACACATAGGCTACGTTTTACTGCGGGATAATATCCCTAATAAACCACGGGTAACACTGCGGGGCACAGCTAGTATAATATCGACGGGTGCAAAGTAAAAACAGACATCTGCAAAATAGCAACGTTACAGGACAGCGAAAAGATCGAAGAATTGTGTTATTTTTCTAATAAGTGGACCAAAAGTTCTGAAAATTTTATCAATCTATTTATACTCTTATATATTTGTATATTAAGCTAGTTTAGCTAATTTCTTGAAAATTTACGAGATTTTGCAGATAGCCGTTCTTACATCGTACTTTAAAAAATGCTAACTGAGCCAACTACCAGTTGGTCGTGTATACTCCATCTAGTTATACATACCATCCGTATATATACATAACGTCCGTCCGTATAGTTATACATAGCAACCTCAGTATCACGGCTATTATATTTTTTTAGTTTTAAAAGCCCATCCGTTTCCTTGATGTCCAGTTATTTTATTATTCTTCCTAATTGCAGTTTGCGTCGTTCTTTATTCATTTTCAAATTGTAAGGATTAACGCAAATGGGGAATATAATAAAACATCGAAATTGCTGCCGTTAAAGAAAAAAACTTTTCTTAACCTAAAAGGTACGCGCGTGCCGCCGGCGACAAGTGAGCCAACTGCCTGATATTTGTTTCTCAGGTTTTCACGCACATCACTCATTAAATAAAACTAGTTTTTTACAGGTTAATGCACGAAACTTTATTTATTTATTGACGTTTATTTATTGACAATAAATAAATAAAGTTTCGTGCATTAACCCGTAAAAAACTAGTTTTATTCAACTGCCTGATGTAATTTTGCGCGCGCTCGGAGCCCGCCTCGCGCCCCGTGTTGAAACGACCAACGTTTGGTCGCATTGACTTCGTACTATTTGCAAAAACATGCGTAGATGGCTTTTTATACGATCGAAAATTTATTGAAATAGAGTGAAATCTGCAAAACAAAATATGTCAGGTTGTGGCGTCTTGTTTGATTAGTACGAAAATGAAATAAAAAGAAAAACGTAAATTTGTAGTTGTCTTTATTTACTTTGCACCCGTCGATATATTCAAAAGTATCTGGATTTTGACGTGTGTTTTCATTTAAGGTTTTACTAGTTCTTCCACTATAGTATTTATCTGCTTACACCATAATATTTCACATCACAAACAATTTACAGTTATAACCAAATTTTAATAGAGACGAAATCGTTGAAGAGTCCTACGAAATATGATGAAGTGTTTGGAAAATAACAATACAATCAAAGAAATTATCTAAATTATAGTTTTCATCAAATAATTTAGGGGAAATAATTTACATAAGTTGTGTTCATTAGCATCCTGTATTAACCCCAAGTAAATCGTATTTTGCCGAAATGAACAATATAAATAGATTAAACATCGGAATGCATAACTATTTGTTTAATACGTCAATCGGATATCAAATTGGATTGAAGCGAACGCATCGAGATTTCGTGTTAACGTTCATAAATATAAGTACGTATTTGCAATGGCTGATTATTTGCGAAGCTTAAGTTTGGAACAATTCAATCAAATATGAGCGTGCATCCGTGAGCCCGAACGCGTATATAGTTCGGTAAGGATTAATTTTATTGACAGAACAAACAAAGGCATCGCACATGGTGACGATAAAATTTTTACTTTTTAGGGTTCCGTAGTCCTGACAAGCTTGGAGATTGTTAGCACTAGAGAGCTGTAATTTTGTGGAAATATGTATATCAATCACGCCGAAAAAACGGTAGAATACAATTTTGAATAATATTTATTTAAGGTAGCTCCCCTACATGTAACCTGGGAATGTTTTTTTTTCATCGTCAACCCCATCGTGTGGGGTATCGTTAATTAGGACCTTTAAAATTACTTAGGATTTTCTTAAACTATTATTTGGTTTAGGGATCTGTTTGCGAAATATTAAACGTTAAAGTGCTATTTTCTGTTCGAGTAAGTTTTACGGAAAATTATAATAGTTAAGATAGATTTGTTAGTCTAAGAGTAATAGTCGTTCATCTTTGGCAAAAGAATATATCTTACCAGTTGAAAATTCTAGAAAACATTAATAATGACATATTAGTAGATGAAGTTATTGTAGCGTAAAACCTTGTATTGAAATATAAACTCGAAAAAAAACTATTTAAAAAGTTTTTTTTAATTCCAATACAGAAAATAAAGGCTCCTGCTCAAATATATTGTTGTAACGACAGGCAACTACGGAGCCCTACACTGCGCGTGGCACAACACGCACTTGACCGATTTTTGGAGATTTGTTTTCGACGTCCGCTTCAAACAGAAATGCCAGTTGGGTTTAGAGGATAAATACGAGTTTTTTTATATTGTTGCAGCGTATGAATATGAAAAAAAGGAAGAAAATCTGTCGTGCTGGTAGTGAGACAAGATAAGTTTTATTTTTTTCGAAGTTTGCAATCCCTTATTCGATTACCACATTTTGACTTACCACCACATTTTAAATAGAGAAGTCCATATTGTTACTCGGTGTAAAATCAGTGACAAGTTTCCAGGATAGGGCTTATGTATTCCTTAAACTGCCGACTGTGCTAAAAACAGTAATTTATAACAATGAAATCCTAAATGTTGTATTTTTTATCAAACAACAATTTACGTATTCTACGCCTTTGTTTTTAGCGCAACATCAAAACATGAAACTTTGTGAGCGTCTGTTTAATATAAATATATATATGCTTGAAACAAAAAAATATTAAACGATTATTCAGAATTCTTGTAGTGTTCTATATACTAGATTTTATTCATTGAAAATATTAACAAGAGTACTTATAAAAATCGAAAAGTAAGCTATTAGTTCGTGAAGAGGGGCATGGCAAGGCTAGGGCTTTTTGTTCCTTGTTTAAGAAAAACAAACTTTCGCTTCGGACTATTAGCAGCTTTGTCTTAGAATTTTGTAGTCTTTAATTTTTTATTTATGGTTTTTTCTGTATTTATTTTATTTCTTTTCTCCTAAGACTGTTGATGATATGTTGGATATATTCTGTATAGGTTTCTATTGTGTGTTTTTTTTACATATTATTTGATTGAAATCATGTTGATTAGTTTGTTGTTTGGTAGTGTTTGCATAATAAAAACTTTGTACGTTATAATTTTTATTTTTTAAGCATGTAACTGCTTGATGTTTAAATCCAAAGAAAATATAACTAGAAAAAAATCCACGCGGACCAGGCAGCAGACGGGACTCGAACCCGCACCCTTCGCTATCCGAATGCACTGACCAATTATGCTACCGCAGCCCTAACGGACAGCGTCGAAATTCTTCTAGCCATTCTTAAGCTGCAAGGCAGCTCCATCTCTTCGCATTATGGGTAACTCACAATGTCAACTTTGTACGTGTTTAAATCTTTGTTTATTAAATAAAGGACAGTGTTCTATTTATAAGTGATATAATGATTGAGGCTGCGGTTTCTCAAATTGTACGTATTTTAACAAATGCAGATGAGAATTTATGAATGATTCCGAACACAACTAGCACTTTCTCATGTGCGTTCTGGGGTATTCAATGTATGGGGAATGGGCGATGTCCTTTGTATTCTTTATTTTCTAATTTAATATCACAGGATTTTGCGGTGAAAAGTGAGTTTGTTCTGACAGAATAGCATGGCAGTATTGAGAAGACTCATATCCACCAAGTGCATCTTCCACCAGAACAGCTTCATAGAGTACTTATTTAGTAAATAGTGGATTACAATAAACCAAACAATTTATATTATGTTTAAAAAGCCTATGTGGTACCTACATAACAAGATATTGGTAATTTATAGGTAGCTTATATTATGATCGTTACGTAAATAGGACTGATTCATTTCAATGAAATAATTAGCTATGATAAATTTAACTTTCTGTTATATTATTTATTTAACTTATTTCATGATAATTGTTTCTTATACTTTCACGCAAACCGATGATTCAATAAATATTCTTAAGGAAGCTTTTTTATATATAAAAAAGTGTTTCTATTTTCCATAACTGAAGTTCTTGTCTTATCTATATTTATGTGTCATATTCATAGTGCTCATCAATACATAATAGCGTAGCGAGATTCTTCAACCAACTGCTCATCATATAGATGATTTCGGACAGCATCGTGGCACATTCCAAATAACGAAGAAAGGAAAAAAAAATAGTTTTAATTAAACCATGTTACTCCTGAACACAATGAGATAGTGAGGGATAAAAGAATCGAAAATGCACCTACATGCCTTTTTACTCTATTATTATATCTTGCCCAGAAATAAACCGTAACAAAGGATTCTGGTCTTAAATGTGGCCATGGACGCTTGACCGGTATCGATATTATCTGAGGGTATTATAAATCACAATCGGCTCTTCTGCTTTTGCTGATTATTCTTGCCATGTACGTAATTATTTCGAGGTTGGCAAAAAAAATCTTTCTAAGTCCATCTTCTAACAGCTTATCAAAATGCAATGGCGGATAGCTTAAATAAACATGTATATTTTAATATCCTCTATATTCATCGGAGGTCGAAGTCTGACAGAAAGCGCACCGTGCAGAAAAATGCAGCTTAGCTTAGCTTAGCGGAGTGAGTTATATTTTCCTCAAAGGGCGCTTTTTGATGCTCTACAATTATGTCTCTCCCACACCTGCGCGTCGAAGCTTTGACTACATCTTGCGCTAAAATTTGTGTTCAAATATTGAATTAGGTCTATCGTAACTACGCTCCTTCAAACTGCACATACAAATTTATAGTCTCCCACAACATCTTTGATGTGTGTCAAAAAGCGCCAGTCAAGCTATCGTCTAGTCTAGCGTCTATCCCCACGCAGCTCGGTAATTTGTTACGATAGAACTAATTTAACTAAATAGGCCCATTTAATATGAATAATAGTACTGTTTAATTTAAAGAAAATTTGATAGACGGGATGCCGTCTGAAACCTGGATGGAGTGGATTTTTTTCTAGTAAAACTTTCCCTTAGATTTATATACCTAGTAGTTAAAAACTTTATTTTTGGGTGTCAAGAGATATTGAACAAAGTGAGTATGAACACAGTAACATAATAATATGTGTAATAAATTCAGAGTAATATGGACTTCAAGTTAGCGTATTTAAGATTTGCATTAGTTTTTAGATGTAATTCTCGAATTGCAAGTTTACTTATATTTTTATTTTATGATAACTACTACTACATTCTAATGAAAACGAAGAAACTTAAATACTAAGGATACGGCTGTATCGTCTAAGTTTCCCTTGTCTTCCTTATTCTAATTAATATAACCAAAAAAAGATTGACTTTATTATTAATTTGAATCAAATGCATTACCTTCAATTGCTCCTTCCTTAAATCTACCACTGCGAAATCAATCTTCATTTCATTTGACGACCTCCGTGGCCGAGTGGTTTGTACGCCGGGTTTCATGGCTGTCGCCGACTTGAGAGGTCCCGGGTTCGAATCCCGGTGGGGGCAGATGTTTGTGTGATGAATACGAGCATTTGTACTCCAGTCATGGATGTTTAATATGTATTTATATAAATATACTTATATATGTACAGTATATGTATTCTATCCGTTACCCTAGCATCCCATAACACAAGCCTTATAGTGCTTACTTTGGGGCTAGGCTAATTGGTGTGTGTCGGAAATATTTATTTATTATTATTTATTTATTTAATAAAGGTAGTATGCAGTTTCGGTTGAAGAATCAATAAAAGATAGGCCGATTGACTAAAATAATGACTGAATAATGATTCAGCTGCAAAACAGAAGTAAAGTTACTTATTTATCTAAGAAAATCAATATTTAAAGGTATAGTTTTAATGAAGCTGCAGAGTTTCAACATTTTCTGTTTTGTTTTTTGCCGAAAATCATTAATACAATTTTTTTCCTCAATGGTACTGGTCTCTGGCAATCTCCTTTAGAACGCAAAATTTTAGCGCATTATGTTACAAAGATTCGTCGCGCAACTGTAGGAGAGGAATTACCCATTCTTACTGACCTAGCCTTTTCATTTAAAAACTAATTGGACTGGACAATTAATGTAATGTTGGTTAATTTAACTTTTGTATTGATTTTAAATGTTTCTTTGTTGCAGGTAGTATGTAACAGTGCCTCTCTGCGCGGAGTGCCATCAACGCTGACTCCAACTGTGACGCAACTGTCCTTGTCTCGCGCGGATCTGCGAGTCTTGCGCTCCGATGCGTTTGCGCACCTACGTCAGCTGCGTCGTCTGGCGCTCGATGCCTGCAATCTTACTAAGATCCGCCCTTTTGCCTTCCGCGGCCTTCCGCGTCTCCGAGAGCTTTACATACAACATACTCCTCTTGCAACTGTCGATGCGTTCGCCTTTGCGGCACTTCAGAACATTACCTCGATCGTTTTGAGCCACAATAGAATAGCGCAGATCGAGGCTTACGCATTCGCAGGAACTAATTACATCAAACTCGTGTCTCTTCGAAACAATCCCATCAAACGAATATTGGCTCACGCTTTCTCAGGATTAAACGATGTTGTTCAAATTGAATTGCCATCGGGAATCAGATCTATTGAGCCACAGGCGTTCGCTGGACTCGGAGGAGTCGGCACATTGGAACTAGCTTACATGGATTTGCCAGCATTGTTGCAAGACACTTTCCGAGGATTAACTCGGGTCGGTCGACTGGCGTTGCGCGAATCGGATCTCGGTGTCATCCGAGTGGGTGCGTTCGACGGCCTTCAAAGGGTAGACGTATTGGAGATGTGTAATAATAAGATTGATGCGGTCGAGGAGCTAGCTCTGGTGCAGAATAACAGCGTTCGCAGTTTTAAATTGACCGGTAACCACATGTTGGAGTCTCCAGAGTCGGTGGTTCTGGAAGTAGAAAACGTCGTGATCAGCGGTAATCATTTACCATGCGAATGTGGACGTGATCCATTGGCGAACCCTCTCGCGTTGACGGCAGATTTTGCGGAGGAAAACTATTGTATATCGCCCCTGAAGGTGCGAGGTCGTAGCTTGGCGAGTGCGACAGGTGCGGGGGCTGCGTGCCGGGGCGAGGCGGGCGGCAGCGCGCGCGCTCGGGCGGCGGCCGGCGCGGGCGCACTGCTCGGCGACGCGCTTGCCCTGCCGCACCTCGCCCTCACAGTGACCGCCCTCGCTTTTTTCGCGGGTAGTTAACCGCCCTCATTGTTCAATTATTGTGTATCCGTTTGTAAATATTGTATAATAATATTAAGTAACTATAATGCGAAATTTTACATTGAAAGGGTCCGTTCATTGAGTATACGTTGGACCATGAATAAATTTGCCTTTGGAGACAGGTGTTTTTATTTCTAAGCCCTTCGTTACAATATTTAATATTGGATTTTATTTAAATATTTAATAAAGCATGAATATCAACACTTTCTGTTTTATTTACAATATATCTTTAACAATATATCTTCTACTCAAATCTGAAGGGACTTTAAAATTATGCTTATGATTTGATAAGCAGATATGAGGACATGACATAAAACATAATTACTGGGTTTGGATTTGGTATCTAAAAAAAAACGACGGGTTGCTTTAATTGTCAGTATAAAAGTACTATCATGTATGTGGTAGAATACAATATTTATTTATTGCGCTAACGTACACAAACATGACAATTTATATTACATTAAAAAAAAATATCTCTCATTAAAATCAACTTACATGAATCACGTTTAAGCGCACTTAGCTACATCTATTGTAAAGAAATCAACTTACATGAATCACATTTCAGCGCACCTAGCGACATCTATTGTAAAAAAAAATGCATTTTCTTCGCAATAAAGCTGCCACGTGGATGTCCTAGATAGACTTATTATTATAATACGGTAAAATAAAGTATTACTATGTTTCGTCCAATATATTGAAAGTCAACATCCTTTCCAATTTTACTACAAGCCCGTGTATAACGCCGCTAAAGAAGTTTTCACTTCAATAAAACCACTTTAATTTCCCAGACGCCAAAGTGACCTTCAAGAATTTAGTTATCACACGGTTCCGTCCACTCCCTACGGGAATACGGACGTGAATTTTCCTTATAAGATATGTCATTAGGTTTTTCAGGTGAGAAAACTACTTAGAAGATATCACGATATCACCTCGATAATTTATCACGCATAATTATTTCGTCAAAACCCCAATAACGGTCTGATTTCTGATTGTATTAGTTGTCAACCAACCAAATAGTTTTTGCAGTATAGGCACCGAATTTCAGTTTTACTGTATAATGAACTTTAGATCTAAATAATAGGATATACATATCAGCAAGCAATATACTCAGCAAGTGATCACCCAAAATATGCATTTCCTCTCAGAAGAATAAAACTTTGTAATAAGTGTTATGGTCCAAAGATCTCAGAATTATGGGCGAATAGAAAAAATACCCTAACCTACTAAGAAAATTGAGATCCTCCTCCTTTTCCAAAATCGAAACGAATCGAAAAAAACAAGCATATTATTTATTATGGTGAAAATTAAAAAATACTGTTCCAATGTGGTAAAGTTTAAAGAGATTCGTTTCTAGAGTACTCGTTAAATTCACAAATTCACAAACTGAACAAATTTATATTTCTTAAACTGTTTATGTTATTTAAAGAATTACCATTCATGTTCTAACCAAATTCGTAATACAATGTTAACGATAACAATGCCTTTGTATCCTAACGTCTACTAACGTAATACCCTTCGGGTCGATACATTATTAGTTATTACCTTTAAAATAACAATGTTACGCAGCTTACGGACCAATTATTTGCCCATTGTTCTCCTCGAAAACATTTTACGTTATAAAATTAATTACCTGTACAACAATTTGGCAGTTCATTTATATTCAACGTGGATACGTGAAACACAATGGTGCAAAGTCGGTTTCTAGTCACGATTTCACGGGTTTCGGAATCAGTTATCAGTGGGTCTTGGTTTCATTGAGGCACCGTTGTTCCCGGTTTATCGGGGGATCTGGTGATATTTCTCGGGCGGCCGGCAGGGCGGGCGGGCGATGTCTGCAGCTCCGTAAGGGCGGGGGCCCGGCGGCGCATTACTCAGCCCCTATCTGATGTCGTCTGCTAATTGACTAGAAATACAGATAAATGCTATTTTTATAGTAGCTAAAACCGTCTTCGAAAATCAGCTATTAGAGAATATTCAGTGCGCTTTTTTTAGAGGAGTATTCGGAAGCGAGTTCAGTTTACGTGGATTGCATTGAGTCACAAAAAATAGCATTTCTATTGCATTTCACTTATTTTGCGGCCGCATTTAAAAACGTCCATTGGATTTGATGCTTCTTTAAGTCAAGTGGTCAACGTGTTGTCTAAGCGCGCTTGCTTACGAGGTGGTTTCTACCCTTGTTTAGGTATGGTTTTAAAACGTGTCGACGTCCGGTCATTAGTTAGGTATGAGACACTATGGAGGTTTACCCCACTTTTTTTAAGGTTGAATTAACTACTTCTTGGGATATATCTATCGATTTGTTTACATTATTCTATTAAAAATGATGACTCGTTAAGAATTAGCTCGCTAGGAAGATTGCCAACTGGTTTTGCAGGAATTAAAGGCTTCCAAGAAGTTGGTTGGACAACTGCTTATGGAAAGGGAGGACAGTGAGAAGGAACTACTAGATGCTCTAGACAACAATAGTAAGCTTAAGAAGGTAATGTCTGAGTTGCATACTCAATTTTTGATGGTTGCAATCTGAAATGGATGAAAAAGACAAGTTGCAATCTTTGGTAGACCGGTTCGACCAATGCAGTGATGAGTATGAGCAGGCACTCAGGCGCATCACTGAATTGGAGTTATGCCTACAAGAGTCAAATAAATAGCCATATTAATAATTTAGAAACTGAGAATTAAATTGGACTGTATCACAGAACCAGAGTCTATTTGAAGAATTAGTTAATAATGCCCCGGATATGGTTTCTGCTGCATACAATATAAATCCTGCGGTGTCTTTCAATTTAACTTGCAACAACTCAATTAACACATCTGACACTGTGGTCAAGGTTGAATGCAGCAAAAATAAAATAAAAAAATATGTAAATTGAATAAATTAATTAAAAAAAAACAAGTCATTTCTTAAAAAACGTAACTATTTTCACAAAAATTTGAAATACAGTAAGGAGCGTATAATGTTATTAAATAAACTAGACTTTTATTCGAATGAAATTAAACAAAAACAAGAAATTTATGACAACAATGTAATGTTATTAAATAAGAAAGTTAGTTTACTAGCTACCTTATCTAATAAACATAATGCAACAAAAAGAGGTATGAGGGACTACACATTGACACTGAATCACCTTATGAATAACTCAAAATTTGAGGAATCATGTGATTTAAGAAATTGTTCTACTGCTCCTGGCCTACTTGACTTGGAACAACTTGAATGGTCCTTGTCGGTGTGTGAGCCTTCTATTTCTGAATAACTCAGTCAATCTATAAAAATTTCTCTAATAAAATTAAAACTACATGGAAAATTATAAATCAAGAAATTGGTAAATCATCATATAAAGATAGGTCCTTTGAAATTAATATTGAGGGTAAAATGTTAAAGACAGATACAGCGGTAGCAAACGCTATGGAGTCCTTTTTCTCAGGCATTCCTACAAAAATTACTAGCAAACTGTCCTTTTTAGAACTTAGTGTTAATAAATGTAACAACTCTTTTAATTTTCATGAAATTAACGCCGATATCATAATAAAAACCTTTAAATCCTTAAATCATAAAAAGACAGAAGATCTATGGGGTATATCAGTTGCAGTTATATCACCAATAATCAAAGTTATTGCCCCCTACTTATCTGCTATTTTTAATAATTGTATTAAAGACGGAGTGTTTCCCGACCTAATGAAATATAATAAAGTTATTCCACTATTTAAGTCTGGAGATAAATGTGATCCCAATAATTTCCGCCCAATATCCATTTTACCAACATTGAGCAAAATATTTGAGAAAGTTATGTACAATCAATTACATTGTCATTTTACATTGAACAAACTATTTCATGATAGGCAATTCGGTTTTAGTAAAGGTAGAAATACAACAGATGCAGGTGTTGCGTTAATGAAACAAATATTTGATGCTTGGGAAAATAAATAAGATGCTCTAGGTGTCTTCTGTGACTTGTCCAATGCCTTTGACTGTGTAGAACAGAGACCTTATTGGGCAAATTGAATCATATTTGAGTGACCGATTGCAAACAGTGGTTATAAATAAAGCAAAGTCTTCTGGAGCTCCTATTATTATGGGCGTGCCACAGGGCTCGATATTAGTACCATTACTTTTTTTGATTTGTATAAATGACCTGCCTTTCTATGTAAACAACTTATGCGAGACGGTATTATTTGCAGATGATACATCCCTAATATTTAAACTAAATAGATATACAGAAAATGTTGACGATGTGAATAATGCCCTTTCCAAAGTAGTGAGTTGGTTCACTAATAATAACTTGTCATTAAATTCAAATAAAACAAAATGTATCAAATTTTCATTACCGAATGTTAGGCAGGTTAGTACAACTACTAAAATCAACGAAGAAATAATACAATGTGTTGACTCAACAGTATTTTTAGGAATAACCTTAGATTCACGTTTGCAATGGAATCCTCACATAACTACCCTCTCAAGAAGACTTGGCTCGGCTGCTTTTGCTGTAAAAAAAATTAGATTACTGTCGGATGTCGAGACGGCAAGGCTTGTATATTTCGGTTATTTCCATAGTGTCATGTCATATGGTACGGCTCTCCTTTGCAATATATTTTTATATTACAAAGGAGAGCCGTACGCGCTATTTATAAATTAAAACCGCGTGATTCACTGAGAGAATTATTTAAAGAAATCAATATTTTGCCGGTTCCCTCGTAATATGTATATGACAACATTATGTATGTCCACAAAAACTTGCATACCTTTTTAAAGAATAGTGATTATTACAATGTCAATACAAGACGTAAAAATAGACTTGCTGTTCCGACTTTCAGACTTCATAAAACTAGTCAACCATTCATGGACAAATGTATACAAATATATAATAAACTGCCACTTAATGTAACTGAACTTCCATTACATAAATTTAAACTTCATGTTAAGGAAATTTTAATGAAAAAAGCATATTATAAAGTTCAGTAATATTTAGACGATAAAAAGGTGTGAATACATTCCAATGTGCTCGATTCTTCACTGAAATCTAGAGAGATATCATTAAATGTATAATTCTTATTCTAAATTGACAATATTGTAAGGAAAGACGTCATGGATCACATCTTTTACATATATTCTTTTATTTCGTAGTAACTACTGGTCTTTTATTTATTTATACTTTTAAAATTAATTAAACTATTAAAGACCTGATGTGGATTATGACTCTTTCCAAA